GAAGGCTTAAAATTGGCGAAGGCAAGGTCCAGCAGAGCTGCTGCCTGCAGTTGGTGAGGTCTGGCTCTGGTTCAGCCATTAGGTGCCTGTGGCCTTGGATAAATCACTTCGTCTATTTCAAAGGGTGGGTAAGTTACTCCGAGAGTTATTCAGCAAGCGGAGGCTGAGAAATGCAGTGCTACCTTTCAAGAAAATACCATCCTACCTCTCACACCCCACCCCCACCCACCCCCCCAAAGAAATAAATGCTTTTTGGCCTCAAGAAGGAATACAGTTCTTCTCTGATGCCCTCTGTCACATGTCGAAGTACAGGAGGTCCCTTCACAGTCACCAGAGGGATGGAAGGGACAACATTCCGTATCATGTCACCTGCTGTTGAGATTCAAGGTGATCCTGTTGATACCTATTGTCACATCATGTTCAAGGTCTGTTTGTACAACTCCCTCCATGGCTCCTTAATGCATGCTACTGGTCATGGGAACTGTGGATGGACTGGGACAGCACGTCTTAGTTTTCCCAGTATAGCTGGAGGTACACCACCAATGAAAATGATTATAGAGCGAAAACCTGTATGGGGAACTGGAATGAAGAGCGATACAATATCCAGAAAATTGTGCAGCACAAGCCACTTCCTTCCCAGGTATGTCCTTGTGCTTTTTCCTTATTGTGGATATAGCAAATCTCTGTTGAGATGATCACTGGTCACTGAATTTGTCGTGCACACAGGGCATTACCCTTCCCATCCTCAGCTACGAATACATCAGAGGTAAGCCTCCCATGATAGCTTCCCTTTCTGCAGCCTTACTAGTCTTTTCTACTGTTTTTTAAAAATGCAGAACGGTAGCAGTCAGCACTCTTTTCTCTGGTGAGTGCCCTACAACAGTCCCACTACAGGTGTAAAGATGTGAGGAATGCTTTTCTGTTTAAACTAAGTCTTACTCCTTATAACGGTGGCCCCAGTCCAGCTCTTTCCTTTGCTGTTCAGCTGGTGAATCAAAAGTCATCACTGAAGCTTTGTGATCTTAGGTTAGGCTGATCTGAAAGTAGTAATGTGAATGCAGCTACTTTAGTCTTCCGTAAGATATAAAATGTTAAAGTTTTTTGCTTATATTTAGCCATGCTAAATGTGAGTTTTTCTTTGCAGTATACTCGCTGCTTTGAAACAACATACTCTTCCAATTACAACAAAGGAAAGCATCAGAGAATGAAAAGTATGTGCACAGAACTGAAACTTAGTCTGTTGGATCTGTAGTGTAGCTAAAGAGGAGCTTCTGAATGACACATGTGCTTAGAGATGATAGGATTGTTTTCTGTTGTTTTCTCATTGTTCCACCACAGAACAGGTATTTCGAGTCATTCAAGGAGTGGTATTTGCGTCTCAAGTTTTCTTGTCTAGCTAACCTCATCATGTTTATCTCCAAGGAGCTTTCACTCAAAATTCCCATTTCTTGCTCCTGAGTTTGAGCCTAACAAACCCCTGCTCTATAGAAAAGATTTACCTCAGTTGCACTCTGGATATATTCTTACTATTTCCACTTACTTACTCCATTTTTTGTGCATTTTTTCTTTCAGGATTTGAATGAGAACCTCATTGGTTTCCAGGACACCACCCTGAGTTGGAATCTCCTTCGTTCAACCCAGTTGCTCAGTCCTACTGCACAATATACTACAGGCCTCCATATGGCAGCATTTACTTTGCTTGTGTCCAGCACTCAGAGAAAGAGCAAAAAGGATGCAGGAAACGCAACCAAGATGGAAAGAATCTGCAGGCTATGCCTTCAGAAAAACAGGAGGCCTGTCTGCTAGCAGTGCTACAAGGATATATTTTGAGCAAAAAGACCTGTTGCACACTAAAGCCAAATGTAGCATCATGGGAAAAATGTTCTTCCTGCTTTATAAGCTGTGTTGTTTGTAACCTATGTGTGTTTCTGTTGTTTTGTGTGCAAAGGTTACCAGTCACCCTGCGCCTTGTCAGTCAAGCCCAACAATGTTAGCATAAATCAGAGCAATACTGTAGATGCCAGATCCTGTTCATTTTTTGAAGGGCACTGACAACATAGTTTCAGTGATGTGCACCATGACAGCAGGACGTTTTTTTTGTCTCTGGATATATCTGTGTTTACTGCAGCTATGCAGTTTTCATCTGCAACTGCTCTGAATTAGTTGCAGCACTTGGATGCTTCTCCATAACATGAGTCATTCTAGAGATTTAAGATAGAGTTGTCTTCTGTTCAGTTGTTATCTAATACCCACACTTCAAATGGGTTTCGATTGTCATGACGTTGTTTTACCAGCCTAATCTCCACTGGAAAAACTTTTCTGTTGCTTGTGAAACACTATGAAATCCTCTGCCAACATTGAAGGAAAAGGCTCAAGCGATTAGACGTTTGTAAAACATTAGAGTACAAGAAGTAAAACTAGCAAAGCAGTTCTGAACACCAAGACAAGCTCTCCTGGACACACCTGCCACTCAAGCTGTCAGCGACAATGATGCCAGGTTTGTTTTCCTGTACAGCAACCTTACACCGCTTTCGTGACCCAACAATTCCCTTGTCCTCAGTGCTCAAAACAAAAAAAAAATACAAACTGCTTATTCATGTTTTATTTGTTAGTAAACTTACTCAGCATAAATAATAAGAGTAGCCATTCAGTATAGCTGGCATCTAATGAAAAGTGCTCTTGAATGGCCCCCTGGGGCAACTTTAAATAGCAGCCTACTTCCTTTGGACTCCTGCAATGGCAGGCTTCTCTTCACGAGTGATAGGGATACTGCGCTCAGGGATGTCACTTTGTTTCCTTGGTGCGCTCACCGTCAGGACACCATCCAGAGAGAGTGATGAGGTTATAGTCAGAGGGTCCACATCGTCTGGAATCCTGTATTTCCTGTTGAACTCCCTGGCAATAAAGCCATGTTCATCCTTCAAAAGGAGAAGAGAAGGAACAGCCCATATTAGAAATGTTCCACAGTTCCACCTAAACCATGGATCCTTTGCATACAGTCTGAGATCAGGAAACTCCAGCTCTCAAAAGGAAAACTTTTCAGAAGGTTAAAAGGGTTTTTATTCTGAGATGGCCTTTTCAAAGAGCCAAGACTGTCCAAAGTAAGGCACTGCCCTTGCCTAGGCTGCAGGTGCCTGCAAGTACACTGTTTACAGGAGGAGGCTTTATGTTCCAGCTCTTGTGCTAGCCAGAGACTGGCTTCATTGCACAGTGGTGTGCTGTCATTCCTAAGATGCAGCAGCCAGCTAGACCTACATGCAATGCCAACCATGCCTGTTCCTGAGGGTCTCCAGAGCTCTTTTAACACACAGCTTTCTAGTAAGCTGATCTCTGCTATAGTGCTTGATTATTTTCTTGGCCAAAAAAAGTTGCAGAAGCTGTGTCAAGATTACAGGCTGTGTTTCCTGACTGACAGATCTGTGCTTCCAGAACCTCTTGGAGAGCACAGTTTCAGTGACATAGCTACTTTATCATGTGGATTCTATCCTTCTGGCAAGGAGGTGGGAGTGGGTGGTGGGAGGGAGATGGGGACTGGCAGACTCTGTTATGTCCAGCTTTGGACATGGCTTTTGACTTCTGCCTGCCCAGTTGCCACACAGGTCTCCAGAGCCAGCGAGCAGTGGGATAACTGACAGCAGAACACAGCCTTTAAGGATTACAAACTTACAGATGGGCCTTTTTCAGGAAGAGGTAGCCTCATGGTAACTGAACAGGGCAATGCACTGATCCATTATGTGGTTTAATTATTACAGTTTGTTGTTAGCTTATTGAATGCCTCCCTGCATTCCTGGCCTCTTCCCAGAAAGAGGGAGGCCCAGAAAAGCCAATTTCAAAGATGAGTTTCCAGTTCAGTTCACAGTTCATGTAACATCACCAATAAATTTCCACTCTGTTGCTGCCCAGTCTGGCATCAGCTGGGAGTGGGGGTTGCACAGGGCATCTTCCATTAGGATTGGTTGTTAAAAAACATTGGAAGTATCTGAGATGAGCACAGGAGAGGATTGTTTTGTAGTCTCCTTGTTTAACCATAGATGAGGAAGTTCGCACTGAGTCTATCAGTCGCACAGTTAAAGTAGAAGTACCTGGCGCTCCTCGTGTTTCCCGTGAATTTCTATCATGTCCCCAAGCACCTTCACTTTTAGCTCCTCAGGGGAGAAATGCTTCACATCAAGATTTACAGAAAATTTGTCCTTCTCCAGTCGCATCTGCAAAACGAGGAGGTGATTTCAGGAAAGAGCAGGTGAGACTTTCAGCTTAAAAAGGCTCTCAGAATACATAGCAGTTGAAGACTCAAACTCAGATCTACACATGCATTGTCTGACCGTAATTCAGTCCTGGAATTCTGATCTGGGCAGCTTTGTCCCTTGCTAGCCTATTATATTAATGCCAATTATTACAGTATCTAAAATGTGAACGCTTTCTCTTGATCACATGGGATAAATGTTTTCCTTGGGAGTGAGGAAGAGATTCTCTTAATCAAAATGTGTTAAAACTGACTCTTTAGTTGACGTACAGGTTTCACATTCAATTCTATTTACAGAGTGTCTGCGGATTTCCAGTTTCTCTGACTGGATTTCACAAAGTTTTTCAAGCAAAAGAAAACCTGACTGTGCAGCTGACTGCAGCTCATCTGCAGGCTTGCAGGCCTTCCCCTGCTTCATTGCTCTTTAGTAATCAAAATAATGTGTCACTGGCAAGCAGTACTGCCTCCCTGGTCACCTCCATTACCTGAGCAGCAAGACTTCTACTGAAACTGAGACACCTGCTGCTAATCTCACCTCCTTCCCTTCCATTTTGCACTTTATCACCTCTAAAAAATACTGCTTTTTGTTGCTTCCTGAGGTTGAATTTGCATTTTCTGCCTGTCTTGGACATGTTTGTGGGACTTTGCTATATGAGCTTGTTGTCTCTGCCTTCCTGCTGCATTTGTGGTCAGGGAGCAGGTGAGCCTCCTAGAGCTCTGCTCTGGGATGTGGAGGCAGCCTCTGTGCCAGCTCTAGGCTTACTGGTTTCCACAGTTTGACCTACAAGTCTAAGTGCTTCCTCCTCCTTCTAGGTTATTTGTGAAGATTTCTCCACGGAGATAGTCAAACATTGTTATCTTTGGTGCTTATTATGGCTGCTTCAGTGGACAGCCAGACCCAGGTCACTAAATCAAGAGAAACATTATGCAAAAATTAAAAAATACTTTCACTCCTTTGGTTTAGAATAGCTCTACAAGTTTCTTGTAAATGGGACAGTTGACTTGCAGAACAGGCAAGGTTGTTTAAACTGTGTGCCTCTTGGCTCAGCCCCTGAAGCAAGCAGGCTGCTGCTTCATGATCCTTTGGGTCTTGCATATTCCTTAAAATGCTGCGCTCCTCAGCAGTTACTCTTTAAAATAGGCCCCTTTTTTCTCAGCAACAGTGAGCTCCCACACTTCCTGATGAGGATCCTACTACCTCTACCCACTACCCCGTGCTGTTTGCTTCTCAGGAGGAAGTGGGATTGAAAGTTTTGCAAAGCAGACAGGGAAATTAGGCTTCCTCCTTCCTTCGATCAGCTCCTACAGTCGTTCGCCGCACACACTCAGCTAACTTTGCCTCTATTCCCAACACTATGGCAATACTTGCTCTCAGTCACAAGTGATTAGCAGAGCATGCAGATGTTCTTGCATAATGCAGAGGAGCAGAGGCACAAACATACTAGTCTTTTCCCCAGCCTTTTCCTAATAACCCCCTACAAGCAGCTTCCAAGCTCTCAGCTCTCATACGTCTTCAGCTCCAGACCCATCAGGATGTGCACATGGCAATAACAAAGAGTATTAAGAAGGGAAGATTACCTCAGAGAGTCCCGTCTCTAGCCAACTGGGCATCCGAAGAATGGGGGATCTCATCAGGAAGGGACTGAGGCTGGGGGAAGCAGGGAGCAGCTCTGACTCCTGCAGATGCTCTCCAAAAATCTGGTCAAAGATACGACTTGGTGCCAACCAAGATAACAGGGGTCTGCGGATCAGGGGGTTATGAATGGTGATATCCATTGGAGTGCGCTGGAAGAGCCTGGCAAACAACTGTGCTGCAGTGCTGTGCCGGGAACC